CTTTACTTTGTATTCTTTATAAGAGACTAAGATGAATTTCTTCTTTTCTTTTTCTGCCCGCGGCGAACTGTGATGACACATCGCAGATAGCACGGCAATTTGGTCCGTGCTCTGGCAGCAATTAAAGGCAATTGAACTCTATTTTCATGAACTCATATATTTGAGACGTGTACACATTATATATACGTATATAAATAGCAAATCAAACGCTAAGCGCTTTCAGCCTGAATTTTATATTTTACAATTTTTATTCGGGATCATCACATTATAGTTATCTTAATAAATAATATCTCTAAATTCTGTCGCGATATATATATTATAAATAAAGAATTTATCCTTTGAAAATCTTTTATTTAAGTATAATCTTTATGAACTTGCAGGGTTAACGGACTCTTCTTTGGCTTTATCATCGTAAACTGTGAAAACAGAAATATTTGAATTATATACAAGCGAATTAATCGATAAATATCGATATTTACTGTTGGGTATTTTCCACAATTGGCAAACATCATTTTGCCTAGCGCGAAGATATATGTTTTCGATGTGAGATTTGGCTTCCTCCAATAAAATTTTACTCGATTCGATACGCTGTGCTACAGCAGCCAATTGCATCTGGACAAATGAATAATTCCAAATTAAATTATAATCGTTAAATATATTCACGTGACTATTTTGCATTTCAGTAGAATGACTTTAAATCATTCTTTTATATTTACGTCGATTTCCGTAGGGTTCGTCGACAAATGTTTGTCACTCGCGAATTCATCGGAGATATTCGTCAGAAATGAAAACGGTTGTCGCGGATTTTCCGTAATTCTACGTAGAGAAGCTTGCAGTTCCTCGAATGACATTCTATCGACATCGTACAGAGAGGCCGTCCTCAATTTAGAATCGCGTTCCGTGATTCTTTCTCCAATTGTAGAGTCTTGATTTACTTTACTGACGATGTTTCGCTTCGCACATTCATCAATCGATAATTCACCGATCATGCGGGGCAATGTCTCAACGGGATCGGTTTTTTCATTAAAGGTTCGACGTTCAGTAGATCGTATAAGGG